CTAACAAGTGCAATAGATTGCTTGCTGATGCAGCTTTCATTTGATATTGCTGCTGCCTCAATGGTGACCCTCATGAAGTTTCTCACAAATACCTAGAGGGAAGTGTGGCGCGACTGTCTATGCGAATTTCTTAAGGAGCGATGTTCGAGCGCTGGGAATGACGGTATATGTGTCTGCGAGGCTTTTGTTGGCTGGTGTTGAGGGAGTCTTAGACTCAAAAACGAATACGACTGCGTAAGCACAGCTTGTCTAAAAAAATGTTTATAAGTATATCTCATTCACGCGTATTATATTCTGAAATAAAAGTCCACTCACCTTGACGGCGCGACCAAACGGGGAAGGCAAGAAACAAACAACATAAACGTGGCGAAAACAATGCTCGCTTTGTCGTGTGCCTGCTAAGTTCACCGACCGGTGGTTACTTCTTATGCTTCGTAAAATTGCACATCCACGCAGAAGGCTCTAGTGTGAAATACAACACGTTTCTGTGCAATAACAAGAATAAATAGCTTATTACGCTCTCTTTTAGTAAGAAAGCAATCATTTTAACGTGAAGCCAGACGCGTTTTCCAGGTATACAAATTAGAGTCAAGTTCGAAGCTCATGTATCCCGTCATTTCCTTGGATCCAGCAGCTCACTAGCACCAGATTTCCCTCTTGGTATGATTGTGAGAAACTCTATGATTACCCTAGTGCTATTGAAGGGGCTAAAAGATAACACTGTTGCTTTGTCCAATAACGGCATGCATTTGAGTTCAGCAGTGAGTTTAGCACTATGAATTGCCAGGAAATCATCGCAGCCTTTTTTTTTAAGTTTTTTCATTGCATTCAAATAATCGTAAATTCAGGCATGTGCCTGCCTGCTCAATGCAATTCAGGCATGTGCCTAGCCGGCTCAATGCCTGCTCAATGCAATGTGGTTAAAAAATGCATGATATACTACGCATTCAACAAATTCATTTTGAGCCTTAGTTTTATGCCCATTTAAAAGACTTTCATCAAGGCTGGTTTTAGCGCATAACTGCGACAACTTATTGTGTGCAGAAAATGCCACCGTAAGTATGACCAATCCTTTTCAGATTATGTGAAATGCCACGCAAGTGTGAAACTGCAGCCACTTTCTTACGTATGAGAACCAGTGCATGTGGCCCTGATTTCCTTGCGCAGTTTTTTCGATATCAGCAGATGACTAGGATACGCAGCTACGTTCAAACGAGCTATCTGCCCTCTGAAACTTTCTTGCATTGAATGGCAGCAAGACTTCGTTCACATGTTGTGGAAACAGGCACACACAATACCGTGCTTGACCAGCTTGCTACTTGCTGAGGCGAAAAGCAACAAAGGTATTTTTTTGCATGAGGCTCATAACTACAGCATCAATGGCTACTTAAAAAAGAAAGCCTCAGGTCCAAGCACCTCAAGTATCCATTTTCCTACTTCAGAAAGAGAGCCTTTAAGCAAGCAATCTTTAAACAGCATCAATGACTACTGAAGGAAAGATTCAGAAGCTCCATCATTACAAGTAAGCAAAATTAAATAGTCATCAACAAAGTGGAAGCATTTGCTGATATTTGTCTCTTGCATATGTTCCTGAATGTTCCAATTCATGTGTGCCAAGAACAGGTCACTAAGCATTGGGGCTGTACAGGAGGCAATAGACAGGCCACTTTATTGCGGTTTCAGGTGACATATGTAGACGTAAGGTGATGATAGAGCACATCAAGGAAATTGAAAGCAGCAATGCCACCCTCACTCTGAAATGCTGGCGCCCCAATTCAAGAATCGCTTCTTCTATGATGCCAAAAAGAACTTCATGAGGGATCACGCAATATAAATTTTTTGTGTCGATATGTTTTGTAAAGAAGGCTGAAGTGCTCATTTGAATGCTTAATGAATGGCCAGAAATTTTTAACCAAGAAGAGGTCATTGACCCATTGCAACCTAAAGTAACTTGGCAGCCATGAGGCAATTGACTTTCGCCACGTGTCTTTTTCAGAAATAACCACTCGAAATGGTGTTCCAACCTTGTGAGTTTAGCAGAGAAAAACATGTCCAGGGCCATCTCTTCTTTCTGGGCAAGAGACTGGGCAAGGGTACTGAGACTTGACTTCCACTTTTGGTCTTGCGCTTAGCATACTTCAATTTCATATCGAGGCACAGGTGTAACCAATAGCAAATTGAGCTTTGTCCATGAACGTCCTGTGATGTCCAGCACAGAACTCACCTTTCTTGTCGGGGTGCAAAACCCAGAGGCCATTACTGTTGGACTGATACGTATACATATCATGTGGTGTGACAGATGTAGTGACAGATGTAGTATATTTTGTTGCATTGCTTTAGTGAATGATAGTTGGTGCCTGTTCTTGATGTACAGTTTGTGCTTCAGTTGTAACAAAATGGAATACCGACTAGCCTGCTCCCACGCTTTGCCTCTCCAGAACCTTGAGGCAAGGGTGAAAGTGCTGCACCAATTGTGCCATGCTGCGCCAATCTGGGACCTGTTGCACCAAGTCGCGCCTGCACGGCTATTTGCACGTGCATTAGCTGAGAATTTAGCCGAGAGCTTTATAATTCACCAAGCAACACGGGTGGGCTACACAAAGGATGCAACCGCGTCCATATAAAACTCTGCGTCCATATCGAACTCGTATTTCGGATCATGCATGAATCTTGCACCTCGTGAACACTATGCATGATTCTTGTTAAGGTGGCATTTCTGTGCATACTTTATTATGTGACTCTACGTATGTTTTAACAGCAAAGCTGTTAGGCAGACTGCATACCTCATCATTTGACTACGTATGTTTTAAAAGCAAAGCTGTTTGGCAAACTATAAAGGCAGCAGTGCTGTTGCAAAAAACTCGCCTCACTGTTTTCGAGCTACCCCCGAGCGCGTGGTGTGCTTGGCGGTTGCTCGGCAATGGTGCGGCGAATTTCTTGCCATATGAACTGATAATAATAATAATAATAATAAATACTAGTGACTGTTCTGTTCTGTTTTAACTGTTTTGCTGTGGAGAGGTTGAGGAGCCTATTGCCTCGGCTACTCCATATCGTTTTATTGTTTCACTAGTGCCACTAGTGAAACGATAACTGCAATAGCAACTATTTGCAATGTTCTAATGGTGATGCCACACGCGCTTTTATTTTTGTTAACGCACTATTACACATGTAACGCTGCCTTGCGCAAACCGCCCCTGAATGACTGGAGACCGTCTAGATAATCTTAGAACCTACCGATAAGATTATGCACACAACAGGTACATCACAGTTTGTTCTGGAACTTACACGGCCGCTATTGATTACGCTAGATTCTTCGATGGCACATGTATAAAGGCCAACGCACTTTGCTGCCTGGCAGATTATTGACGGCCCGTGCTCCATGTTCGCTGCTATCAGTGTACAGTGTGTATTGCTTGTAGAGTGATATTTTGTTTTCTGGGCACAGGTTCGCCCAAACAAAAAGTTCACTCATGAAAACAGCAGCTGCTGTCTTTGTCGACATCACGACCTCATGACAATACAAAGGCTGACAGCGAACTCTTTTGGATCTAATATCGCGACACTCGCAACTATAAAACGTTGGTGTAAGAGCTGATGCTTGCCGTTATCGCGCGGACCAGCTATCACACCCATGCCCTTGATTATAACCAAAGTTTAAGGCTGCTTCTCTAGCGATCCCCTTTTTCCCCTCGTATTTTCATGCTCGTTCAAGACAAGCGGCGGGTTTCCTTTCTGCTTGATCATTCAACGGCAGTTCTAACACGCGGTGGAATGCTAATGTGTGCGTCCTCTGAGCGACGGAGATTGGCTGTCTCGGTTTAATCTCTGCGTGAGCAGTGCTCATTACCGCAGCTTGTGCAATTTCACACGTGGTTCGAACGTACGATGCGTGGGGAATGGTACCAACTTGTAGTTTACACAGAACATGGCGGCGATGGCGAGCACCTGTCGAGTATCCATATAGTTCTTATTGTAATAAAAACAGTTTCACTTCATTGCCTGGATACAGCGCGGTGAGCGCATCTATATTTCCTCATGGTTCTCATTTCGGCTGTGGCACTTCAATGACCAAAACATAAGTTTTTTACATTTATTTTTATAGAGCTTTATGGGTTTAGCATGAATATAACTTTTATTATATAGTAGCTTATCTCTAGTCTTGAGTTGCTGTTCATGTTGAATGCAGTGTTTTAATCACTTTAAGCACTGCAACATTTCAACATTAAATTTTTCTATTCATCTGAGGTCTAGTAGCTGTCCAGAACAGCACTTAAGTTTTTTCTTTGAGTTGCTGCGCTTTCACTTTTAATGTTGTAAGGTTTAACATATGTGAATTTCGGGTAGTCTGGTCACTTCAATGCATTGTGTGCTTAGTAAAAACGACTGAATTTTTTGTGCTTAACAGGAAAAAAAAATCTAATTGACAGTGTTGCGTGGCCCGAGGAATCTGCTCCAAAACTAAATTTCGACGCTCTAAAACACACCTTTTGCTGGTCGAGAGCTGTTCCAAAACTCTTTTTTTTTACTTGTCCCAGAGCTACTCTAAAAGAATGAAGCCTGCTTCCACTCCTGTTAAGGGGCCACGTTTCAAGATTTCCGTAAACAACCGAACGCCAGATCGGTGTACTGCTCTATACATTGGGAAAAACCAGTGGTTTCTGAGAATCGAACCTGGTACCTACCGCACTGGAGGCTGTCGCTCAGACTTGTAACCACCGCTGTCTTGTAGCACATTGCCTTGCCCCCTTCTTGTGCTCATTTTTGTTAGCTCAGATAAAAAACTTCACAATGAATGTCAACCAACTAGCCTGGACATCAGGTTTAACCATATTTCATTTTTTGTTTTGTTTATACTATTTCCTGTGGCGCTAGCAGTATGCATGGTGTTCAGCGCATGTTTTGCTGGTGGTGTACATTGGTGCAATACTTGTAATTTGACCACTTGTCTTTCTGGCCTGTCCAATACATTGTTTTTCTAAGCGTTGTGCTTGGTGCAGTTGCTGGTCCAAGCATGCCGAGCAGCGGCCACCCATGGCCGAGGTGGAGAAGACCATGGACCACTTGGCGGCCCTAGTTTCTGGAGCCGACATTCCTCTGGCGTATCCAGCCCCACCGAGGGATGACAGTAAGCCTTCACTCAAACAAGTTGCTCGAAACAAGTGTGTCCGGATGAGTATGAACACAAGGTCACCATCTCCACTTTTGGCTAAAGTTACTCTAGGTGAAGGTTTTCAACCCAGAACATTGATTTCTGAGTTAGTTTTTAAAAACATATTCTTGTTGGTGTAAAACAAAAGTACTAATTCTAGACGCAAAAACCACTTTTTCGCCAATGTCATGATTTCTGAGCCTTGAGCACTTTTGGCCACAATGTGACGGTTTCCGTCAACGAACAAATGAAATTTGATTTTGTCAGTATCTCATTTCTCTTCGCCGACGAAGGACTTTTGATAGAAAAAACACACACATGGAAAACTGCTAAGAACATGTGCATTTCAGGTACAGTTCTATGTGCAGATTCTATGCCGGCAGCAAATAACTTTATGTCCACATTAGTTTCTTTTCATTTACACCACAGTTACTTCAAACAACATTCTTTCTGTGTTCCTTGGCTAGATTGTTCGTTAGTTATCATTAATGCTGTACTTCTGGAATTCATCGCTGCAGATAAGTTGAACTGAGGACACTCAGTACATATTCACTTTGATGTCTGAGGTTTCTTTTGAAGAAAAAGAAAAACTGGTTTTTGTTCTAACCGCTATATACTACTTCGAGATTATGCTCACCCGTAGGTCGTGTACGTTATTGCCGCATGGTTATCATGATACCCTTCATTGCACTTGTTCCCGAACGTTGTACCACTCTTCGATGGCATCCATAAAATTCCTCTTTGAGCACTTTTCTCTGTAGTTTTGCAGCGTATGTTATGCATAGTTCGCAGTGTGCTGGTTTTTTTCTATATTGTAATGGTATATGACTTTTCAACAATGTTGTACTAGTAAAAGATGGCCATTGGACTACGTGGGTAATGCATGACAGAACGTGGATAAGATAGTTGCAGTCTATTTTTAAGGTTCATTCTAGTTCGATAATAAAGGTGCAAATAAGCTTCTCAATGCTTGTCATTGGATGGATACATATGGTTCGAGGTACACAGGCATCACCCAGTGCAGACTTTTTATTTACTTCTTCAGGCAAATGTCATGTGGACCTGTGCTATTCCTGCACATTCTAAGGCTGTTGGGGCAGTATCATGTAGCTCTTGCTCTACAGGGATCTGAAACACTTGCTAATAGCCCGCATGTTACTGTCTTCGGACCACTTCTATTTTCTTTTTATAAGTACATTCTTGAGCTGCACGTTCATAACACGCACAAATAACTCTTTCATGATACACCCTGCAGTCATCACGTGTACTTACATAAACCTGAAAAAAACTCTACATTTCAGGATTGGCATTCATATTATAGTCATTTTTGAAAATAGAACCCTTATGTTACGTTTGTTCTGTAACTGCATTGTTGATAGTTTATTGTGCCAAGTTTTATTTTGTAAATGAGTTGTCATGATTCAAAGTGTATTTTTTCTTGCCTCTTTTATTGTATATCACGTAACGCTATGATATCACATAATGCATTACGACTTATGTTGCAATAAGATTTTTCGTGTTGTTCTCATATACAGTGTAGACCACTTATAATGTAACTGCTTATAGTACAGAACCGCTTATAATGCACTCTTTTTCTACTCCCATTTACCCTCCCATAGAACCCTATGTATATGCATACCGCTTATTGTGCAGTCCCCCAAGATGAAAGACCAGTTATAATGCGGTTGCCAAAAATTGTTTTGTGACAAACATGGTAGCGAGTGCGCTTCTGAAAGGAGGCGCGCTGGGTGCGCCACTGGGACGAGGTTGTTACGGAGGAGGAGGGGACACGGAGTGAGTGCACGAAGGGCGGAGGGAAGAAAATGAAAAAAGACCGCGGAGACACTGGGCGGGCTCGCTGAGTAAGGGAGGAGGAGGACGGTTGCTTTGGGGACCGACAAGCGTTTGCACCGTCGCCGACGCGGCTACAGCGTACTACGTCGCTAGCGTAGCTTCGGCCGCATGTTGCTCAACGTGGCACGTGCGATCCCGTCCTTATCAATTGCATACACTTAACAGTTTCCGGTCGGGAAAGACGTTATCGAGCTTGCAACAAATATCGTGTTTGCTTCCTCGTCCGTAAATTAAAAACCTTTCGCGGTTTTATGACGCGACCGTTTACTTTTGCTGCCAGTGCGCTGTCGTACCTAAGCTTGGAGAGTTGTTGCTGATCTCCCAGCCGCGAACGCGAGCTTCGTATCACACATGTTCTTGGTTCACTGCTAGTGCGATCTTTTTAATGCCAAATCTTTGTGTTTTGGACAAACTTTCCACGACAAAATACCAAGCTGCAAGCTAGGCCTAATCGACGTTAGTTGCGCTTCGATCAGTAGCGGTCGCGTGAATCGAAGTTGTGGTTTGGTACCAAATCAACGAAACTTTTGGCTGTGGCTGCACTTGACGGAAAGGGATACATATCATTAATGAAAATGAGGGCGGTATGTGTGTAGCATTCAAATAGTGGTTTGCAATTCGATTGGGATGTCTTAAATCGGGTGCGCGCCCGTGAAATTGAATGGATGGCGTCTTTCAACGCGTCAAATTCTGGAGGTGATTCGACATTGTTTCTGTGTAATGCACATAATCAAGCCGGTCTGGTAGTTGGTGAATTTTCGCGATGGTGCTTTCATTTGTCAGACTCCCCTTCCCCTTTTCGCGTTCATTTCATCCACAACACGTGTTTTTGGACGTTAAATTCTTCTAACATTCGAAAATTTAAATGTTAGCGAACACGCATTGCATGTATCGATTCTCGGACACACGAAGCTGCATGCTCAACACGTTTTCCGCAAGTGCGGTCCTTCAAAAAAGTTGTTTCGGTTTTAGTGTGGTACCGCTTACAGTGCGGATATTCGCGACTCCCGTGACTTACGTTATAAGCTGTCTATACTGTAGTATATTTATCTTTTTTGTACACTATACAGTTGTAAAATTTTTCTCGTATTGCCCCCCTAACGCAATGCCTCTATGAAACTGTAAGGTACTTTGAAACTGTAAGGTACTTTTAAATAAATTAAATAAATAAATGAATAAGCTGTTAGAATGCTGCTGACAAATCCCCTTCAGAAAAGACTCATATATAAGATAAGGAAAAGGTCTTCTTTCAAATAAAGTTAGCTGACATTTTGTACAACCTATTCACCACAAAAAGCAAAAGGAGTTCGGTACAATGGAATCCCGGTGTCACGTTCCTCGGTTCCACAACGACCCCCATTTCACGACGAATTTGTCCCGTTCTGGCGAAAGCCTTATAGACGCAATGCATTAAAAAGCTCAATTATGTGATGCCATTTTACGCCGAACCTGCAGTTTCACGGTGATCCTGGGGAAGCGAGAGGACCAAATGGCGAAGAAAAGGGAAGTGCCGTGGGTGTCTTTTGTCGCACCATCAGAAGCAACCCATCACATGCTGAGTGCTTGTATAAATAGTTCATTTCGGCTTTCAGCTGCCGTTCGTTCGTCTTTCTTTCCCCTTCTAGCGGCTATGAAAGCGGTGGAAAGAGATGTGGTTGTGGTTTTCTACATTCTTCTCACCCTTTTTGGACTACCATCTCTCATCGCGCAAAGGCATCCATAGGATTTTGTTTATTTAAGGCTAACCTGTGTAGCATCTTAGTTGAAGGAGGGGGGCATTATTAGAATTTAGTGTAATGCGATGTAATGCTGCATTATTAGGACTTACACGAAAGTGCATCTCAAAATGATGTCGCATACCTTCAGCAGTGCAGCTGCCATCTGCTATCAACAATCACCCTTGATAAATGAATGCATCACTCCCATTACGAGGGCTTGTAGAACAATGTGCATAACAGTCTGAGCATGCAGTCGTGCATCCACAACCCGTGGACGCAGCCTCATGAGCGTCTTCTCGATCACGTCACCTCGGCGTACAATATCACGTACCTGCTATCAAAGATGCGCTTTCTCGAACACAGAACATTAGGCACGCAATGCACACTGAGAAGCAATAGAGACTGGGGGAAAAAGGGGGCGCGGGCGGGCTGTGCCCACGGCAATCTGCAGCGCCTTCCTTCCTCCGTGGGCGGCGCCAAGGTACACAGCGAAAATGAACGGCGGCACTGGGCGCTGACCGCCAGCCACGTGGTCTGCGCGACTTAATTTGACAGCTTCATCACGAAATACAATCGAAAAGTGCTTCACAAAAGTCCAATAACAACTGTCACTGGACGAAGCAGTTACGGAATAACTTCTCAATGGCAATGCTACTGCGAATTCGGACGAGGACGACCCTGCTGCCGCAGATTATGCTGTCCTTACATCATTTGCCGATATGCTACGGCACATAGATGGCTTCAGGAGCTACGTTTGAACACGCGAACGCCACAGAGGATGTGCTTTTGGACATTTCCAAGCTTGTGGGGAAGCTTTTGCAGATGGGCTCTCAAAGAAAGTACGGAAGAAGCTTACAGATTTTTTTTAAGTGTATGGCATGTTTCACTACAGCTGCTGGGAATCGCGCCAGCGGATAGTGGTGCATTCATGGTTTGTTTCAGTGAATCATGACTAGTACCTGCGCGGCAGTATTCTTTTCGCTTTGTTTCAGAGCTCTGTAGAGTTTGTTGGTAGTTGACGTTAAAGTTTCTCACTAATCTGCGTGCTAAACGTTCTTTTGTGGGCTTAAATTTTTATCCAAGATACAGTGGGATTGGGCGTGTTGGTATAACATCATAAAGGGTGCTTACCAGCTCAAACGCTCTTGCGCTATCGTTTGCGCTGGTAAGCACCCTTTATGATGAAATTTTTATGGTTGGATTTTACGACACCCACATTTTACGACGATTTCATGCAGTCCCGAAGAAGTTTTAAAATCGGGATTCCATTGTACTACACACAAAAAAAAAGTGTTTTTTAATATATAAAATGTGGAAGATATGTGTAGACACCATTTATGGAAATATACATAGTTTATTTCCTTTACAGTTGAAGAAAACACCATGCTCACCGTGACATGAATCTTAGCGAGAGAGAGAAAACACACAGAAAGAAAATGTGGGTGGGGACGTCGCCTTGAAGTTTGCATAGCAAGTGCCATGGTGCCATAAACTCTGGCCATGTCTACTGGGGTGTGCATAGTTTTTAGTCAGCAAAAGTCAAGTACTATAACGGACCATAGACTAATATACAGAGTTTGAGAAAATTTCGTTCAGTTAATGTCTCCAAAATGTACAACTAATACAGTTTGAAATCTGTGACGTCCTGTGTCGAGGTTACTGCACAAAATTTAAAAATGAAGCTTTGACCTTGATTTGCCTATTAATGAACCGATGATGGTGAAATAATCACATTAGAGTTCTCAGAGTACATTTCATTCATCTCAACTGATTCATTGTTTCGCTTTGGTGTCTTTTTAAGAATTATTAAAGTCAGAGCCTGCCACCTCATACCTAGGGCTGAGCCTAGGCCTAGAATACAAGACATGAGGCTGGCCCAGGTGTTGCATGTCGTGCCGAAATGCCGCAGAGGTATGTTATCAATTCGGACTTGATATGGGACATTACGACAACGGCAATGAAAAAAACCTGTTCAGAGGGTCCATATATTTGCTATCACAGTACAGTTAAACCTTTTTGTAGAGGCATGCTCCGGGCAGCAGTTCTTGTCTTTTATATGTCTCTTATAAGAAGGATACTTAGTATGCAGTTTCTTATCTACTCATATTTTACTATAGGCACACTGTCTCTTATACCCATTTGCTTCTTACATCAGTGTCTCTTACAAAGGGGTTCTACTGTAGTAAGGCTATTGCACAATTTAACTTGGTGTTTGAAAAAATCAGGCTTCGGCAAATGTTGCTTGCAAAGTGCTGTGTAGCTAGCCTACATCTGCTTTGAATGCTTTCTCAGGCTGTTTTATCTCAAAAATTCCCTTCTGGCAGCTCCAAGCTTGCTACAAGGGGCACCTGTGTCTGCTCCTAGGACTGCTCCCAGTTTCATGTAGTCTGTTCCACCCCTGCATGGAGGACATCTTTGAGTAATACCCTTGTCACACAGGCACAGGAAACGAGATTCAGTAGCTAAAGCTTAAGAGGGCCTAGAAATCACCCAGAAGTCGGAATTTAGGTGTGATGGGGAAGTTGTGCACGAGTATGCAGTGACCATGGAGCTGTGAGAATTTTTTGAAACAGTGCCATATTGGCGCAGTCAGACGCCTTTCATTATCGAAACGTGGTGATCACTCTTCTTGATCTTTTTTTTGCTACCCTCCATTGGTGTACTGGGCCAAAACCTTTTTGCCCTCTCGCCGAGCACCCCTCCCGATCTTGCACAGCATACGTCATCGCCAACGCGCTGCTTGAAACGCTGTCTACTTCTGGCTGTCACGACTCCGTCCCTCCGTCGATTTCATCAACTGCGTGCTTGTTGGCGAACGACTGCTGACGTGCTTGCCCGTACACGAATCCTGCCATTATGGACCCTGTTATGCCAGTGCACTGTAACCCTGTGTTACAGGCAGCAGTAGCTTATTTGTAAACATGCGCACGGGTAGCAAGACGAACAACAACAAGCAGTGAAGACAGCTGCTGGCAGACTGACTGGAAGTCATAGGCTCGACCAATGGCAGCATCAATGTGCCGTGCGTAAGAGATTCAAGTTTTCACCTTCACGCAGAGGCCTGAAAGGCTCTGTGAGGAGGAGGGATTATTTCTTAAAATTTGTGATGTTCCGGTGGCTGCCACGTGTAAAATTGTTGATTGCAAGGCCATTCTGCACATGATGGGCGTGCTTATTTGAAATATTTTAAAAAATACCATAGGTGGTTTAGGGGCCCTTTGAGTTTCTGAAGGGCATTTTTTTTGGCCGAGCTGCCGCATGTTTAATGCATTTGACCTAATGATATCAATGACAGTGACCATTGAAGGGAGTAATTTTAGGGTAATAAGAAAATTTAAATACACATTTTGACTACTTTACTCTGCACTCACGAATCGCGGAATGTAGAAGTAAAGATACTACGGGGCCGTTTGAATGAGTTCGTTCTTGTCTTTTACTACATTGCTTCTGACCACAGTGACTTCAGCCATTGCTTGTTGAATCTGAAGCCTGGAATCTGATGTTGTGCCATTTTCTGCACCTGTGTGGCACGGGTATGAGCTGTCAAGGAGATGTACCATGCTGACAATCTACACTTTTGTTTAGTGCTATCAATTTTGGACTGTCATATACTGGTGGCACTGTTGATGCCACTGAAATCTGTTTAGTGCTTCAAGCTTGCCTAGGCTTGGAAAATGTCATATTATGTTCTCATGAACAGGTGTTCTCTTACATTGGCTATGATTGAATCATTTGTGTGTAGTATATGTGTGTTGGGCCTTTGTTGTATAGTTGTGAAAGGAACCGAACCTTGTCGAGAGAAGCAAGTGGGAGAGGGAGTGAGATTGATAGAAAAGGTAGAGAGGTTAACCAAGCATGGCAAATGCCTTGCAGCTGAATCGCTGAGCAGTGCCGAGTGGAGTGAGCCAGCTGGCCTGGGCACCAACCCATCGTGGGGCTCTCAACGACAAGCCACCTCGCTCGTGCTGCAGGTGGCTACAAACACAACCACCCAGGTGTGTGTCTGGTCAACGACATTTGTACCTATAGTCCCAGCACATGCTGCTTTTTGGACTTCCTGTGATAGAAAGTTATATGTGCTCTTGACCAAAGTTCAGGATTATTCGTTGAGTGTAAATAGACTGTTTGCCGACAGTGCAAGTACAGGTACTGCTTGGCAAATATTCTCTTTGAGTCGGCGTGCATTGCTTTGAGAGAAATTTCTGCCAAACGCTATTTCCTGAAGTTACAGCATTTTGAAATTGCCTTAAAATTTGATGCCTGTAAACATTCCAACTTTCAAATATTTTTCCAGGAGTGTTTGCTATTTCATTCGGTTTGCTCCACAGTTCCATGACCCGAAATGTTTCTACTTCTAGAAATTAAGTAGTATCTTTGTTTTATTGCCGTATTAGTTATTATTTTTCTGTAGAAATAATTTTTTTGTGAAAGGTAGTCCAAGAGTGTGTAGTTCTTTTTATTACTCGAATAAATTCTATAAACGATTCTATTTTAGAACAAAGCTGTCTAAAATTTTTGCAAGCCGGTAAAGTGACAAAAAGAAATGCAGTAACATCAATCAAAATTTTTGTTAAAAATGCCTATACAATTTTTGTAAATTAAATTATGCACTGTATTTAGCATGGCCCACAGACAACAAAAATGAGTGCACCAGTGTACTTTTCCTGAAAAGATGCTTGTGCAGGAAAACTAAACACTGAAGAATACCGTGGTTACTCACCAAATAAACACACTTTTTTTTCTCTAAAAATCAGAGCAAAGTTAGGGGTGCTTTTATTGTGCAGGGAAGATTTTATGAAAACTTTTTCGGTATGAGCAAAAAGATGTGGTAATGCAAAAAAAAGTTAGGTTGCTCAGCTTCTTTGTTGCACTTCACTCATTTTCGTTGGTTGAAGGCGGTATTTTTTTCAAGTTGTTCCCACGCTGCCCGTGCACTCCATAAAAGCGTTTCGCAGCTACCCTTTCTTGCAATCATTTAACCGCAACAGTGGTATTTGCTGTGATCTCGAGGGGCACCCAGAAGCGTGCGCTGCGACACTACGACGCACTTTGCCAGCTTTCTGGCAAGCTCGCACGGTGACCGTGTCACCATTGTTGACATTGTGGCAAGCTACCACCGAAGTATCAAAATAGATCATCAATAATAAGATTAGCGACAAAATACGGCGGCCACCTTGCTTGCAACCGAAGCGAGAATCGGGGACCATGTTGCGAAAATGGTCACGATCTTTTCTGGGTGACAAGCGATTTCTTTCTAGTTTTCCAGAAACCTGCAACGCGATGGCGACGAATGGCCCTTCGTGGCAGCCATAGCAACAGTAAATCCTATCGTCGTCGCTCGAAAATTGCGTGCATGTGATTGGGTCTTAAAGTTTTGCATTTGCAGGAAGCAATCATCGATTGGCCCGGAAAGTTTCATGACTTTCATTCGTTATGTGCTTCTCAGCTGCGATGTCCCTACACCCCCATCATTCATGAATACTGATGTGGCGCATAGGTATTTAAAAAAGACTGAATACGTGCCGCGCACAGATGGAAAGAAAAACTACGGCACGCGGCAACGGGCGAAGGGGGGAGGAAGCGAGCGGAGGTGGTCGGCATACTAATAATAAAAAAAAACGGAAGAGATCTAACGGGCAAGGAAGTGCCAGGTGTCGGTTAGTGGGTCTGCAGCGGACTAATGAAGGAACTGCGTTTATAACGCGGGGAACAGAAAAATCCAAATCTTGATGACTGAAGTTGAGTGTGCGTTTATTATGCGAGTGCGTTCATTACGCTAGCAGAGTGCCATCAGCTCTGTGGGTGTGAGAAGCGATAAAGCGACATTAAAGGCAAATAATGATTTATTTCAGAATGAAAGCTCAATGTGTGACAAAGTGGCAATATTATCAGCAGCAATTACTGAAAAATTAAGCTAATTGTATAACGCTGCATGTGCCGAGATTTTGAAATGACCCCAATGACGTGAGAGCATCCAACTACAATTAATCTCTAGTAATCAAGCTAGCTTCAATAAACAAAGAACATTCCGTAAATCAAAAGAGGTAATGAAATGCTGCTTGTTCATTTCTGTTTAATTTGTAGAAGAAAGAACAGGCTTGTGTTACTGTGGTGGAAATTTCCGTTTTTGTCTAGTTAAGCTGAATATGTGGTGCCATTTAGCGGGGCCCAGTTGAACCAAGCAAGCAGAATCTTGTTCATTGTTGCTGCTGGCATGGCTCATGCTACTCTGGCTGTGCTGCTGCTAGTGTAGGCAGCTGCGCAGTAAAGGCGTGTGCGCCACAGTGACATCAGAAAGACCGCTTTCAAGTGGGTGATTTGAAGTGCACTAACGTAATACAAACCACCAAAACGAGACTTTATTTCAAAATAAGCACTTCCTTGGCGCAAAAGCAGCACTACGAGGTTTCTGGACTGTTATTTCAACAATCAATGTCGACTTCATACTTGACTTTAGTGTTCCTATAATCACCCGAAGGACGAAACCAGCCACACCTCCTGTGTATGTTTGGTTTTTAAAGCGAAAGCCGCCACACCGTTTTGGAAAGAAAAAGAAGAAAAAATTTCAATAACCCAACAACAGAGAGACGTCAGCGCATGAAAAAAAAACTACCGAAGTGTAGTAGCACATGCCAAGCCAGAAGAATACGCCGCGGTGGTCCAGTGGCTAAGGCACTAGGCTGCTGACCCGCAGGTTGGGGATCGAATCCTGGCTGTGGTGGCTGCATTTTCGATAGAGGCGAGAATGCTGTAGGCCCGCGTGTGCACATTTGGGAGCACGGTCAAGAACCCTAGGTGATCGAAATTTCCGTAGTCTTCTACTACCGCATCTGTCATAATGATATGGTTGTTTTGCCACGTTAAACCCCACAAATAAATCATCATCTACTTTTAAAGAAATATATGTTTGAAACATTCAACCCGCCTCCTGATGCAGCTTTCACATATCACCGACTGACAGTGTTCTGCGGGCCTTTGCTAACTCGATCGCTGTTTTCTTGAAGGCTACAATGAACTGTTGGCTGCCAGTAATTTTCACCGAAAACAAGAAAAAGGTTGCTCGAAGTCCAAACAGGTTCACAAGACAACAATAAAAACAACATGAGGCCGCCCATGATGCAAGGTTCATTCGTCAAACAAAGGAACATTTGCCATGCCATTGGAGACAGTTTAGAAGCAGTAACACCAAATTTCAAACTCAAGGTGTGGTGTTCATTCGACTGCATGGCTTACATGTGTTTTTTCAGCGAAGTATGATTTGCATTTTTTACGTCGAAGTTATTCTATGTTGAGTGCAAACAGCATTCTAAGGCTCAACGGCACGTTCCTAGCTATGAGACATCTACAGTATTTTTTGACGTGTTTAGCAAGCTTCTAGGCCACGCTGATGAGCGAGTGACAGTGGGGGAGCAGCGATGATGCCAACAGTTTAATTGTTGTCATTGTGGTGTTTACGTACCGGCTGACGGCGATGCCTGGCTACCTAGCAATGGCTTAACTTGCCTTGTTTTGCTTGGTTCGTGCAGTGCGTTCGTGGGAATCCTGCGTTTTCATTGTGCCGCTTTGGGTGATTTGTCGTAGAGTTGTTAGCGCAAATAAGCTTATTTGAAGCTACGATTATCGCGAAGAAGCAACAAGGATGCAGCGTTCATATGTTTTACCAGCCAGCGTGGGCCAAGCGTGCGTCCCCAGCTGCCACACCGCTGCTTGTTCCAGCGTCGATTTCTGAATCCCTACTCAGAGGAGGATCGAACTGAAAATTATTTTCATTGTCCCTTGTGGATGCTCATCATGGCTGCAACGACAATGAAGGTGGCAATGACATACCTACACACGTGCACGTCGAACAGACAAAATGTGAACTGAAACACAAGTCACCAATTTGAGTAGCCCTGTGATCAATCAGATAGGGCGGGACCGTGGAAGGGGACTGCTTGGCAGCGCTGGCATAGCTGAATAATGGTGGGCTTTGCACCCGTTTTGAATTTGGTTCAATACTGGTCATACCAATTGACATTGCATATATTAATTTACCACTCTGTTGCATCATTAGTACTAAATTGTTACTAGGAAATTAATAACTACGCTTTGATGCAAAAAAACACGACATGGGTCAAGTTGATCTCACTGCTGTTTTAACTCAGTGGCTCATAGTAATTATACTCTTCAAATTTTACATGATGGAGCTCAACTGATGGAGCATGCATGATGGAGCTCAACTTTTCATTGCAGTTCTTTGGAAAAAGTTTCAACCCGTATTCCAGCTTTTACACTATTTGCATGGAACAGATGTGAACGTACTAAATTTTGGTTGCCATATTTTCACTGCAGTTTTAAATTATCGACAACATTGGCAATGTTATGGTTACAACGTGCACTTGGCAGAAATTTCGATTGGTGTGGCATAAAAAAAACACTCATTATCGCACATCTGGGTGAAGTAAAGAAACTTTATGTGATAAAAAAGTGAAAATATAAGCAAAACTTCCCCCCTACAACTTTTCTTATATCTCATTGAGCAGTTTCAGTATACAGTCGATACGGTATATATCGAACTCAAAGGGTATCGCGAAATAGTTCGATATATCGATAATTCAAAATACAAAAGATGCCTATTAAAGCCATAAATTGAAGCATTTCAGACCTCGGAAATCTTTACGAGTGCCAACATAATGATTCTATCGCAGTATAATGAAGAGCAAGGTGTGAACTTCAAGTTACTGCACTTTATTTCACTAGAAAATAGTCCGTAAACTTGTTTTGCTTCTTGCATGCTGTCAAGTTCCAGTATTCCTGAATGTCTTTGAAGCTTTTCAAAAAAGCGAGTTCAGCTCCTTCGGCCACAACAGCGTTGATTAACGCAGAATGCCGATTAAAGCATTGAAACGCACCAAAAGGTTGGTTAGCGGCAGCAGCGAAGGCGTTGGCATATTCGTAACCGCACAGGTACACTTCTGCAGCACCGGTAAAGGCAACCATGATCTCAGCACCTATG